ACTGTAGTAGTGTGCTTTATTGAAATAATCGTCTTCCATGCCGATATATGTTTTCTTCCCTAAAGTTCCTTTACCATCGAGTCTCCCCTCATGTCGTGATTCGGGAACGCCAATCGGGCAAGGTCGGAATAAAGTCAACACACGAACTCAATGACCTCCTCTGCTCCATAGCCACAGGCGATGCTTCCTTCAGCTTAGAACGAACTTTCACATATTTCTTCAAGACTCCCATAAACCTCTCGAAGGGGAATGTGTTATGTAAGAACACAGTCCAAGAATACTAATCTCCTTCACCAAATGAACTAGGAGGTGTGTCATGATATTAAAGAAGGATGGAGGAACACCAACTCAAAGTCGACAAGACATTGAACCACATCATTCTCAGAGAGTAGCTAGTTCCACTTTGATTGATTGCCTTCTCGAGAAATTGCATTGAGGAATGCACATAGCTTCACGGTGGCGGCGTATATGTGGAGGTAGAATTCCTCTTAAAGCAACCGGAAGCAATTGCGTCATAAGCACGTGGCGGCGCTCGTGGGACTTTAAGTTTAGGAATTTCTTATCTCGCACATTTATTGTACCCTTTATATTGGAGGAGAATCCCGATGGGACCTTGATGTCGCTTTAGACATTCAAACATCTTTGTCCCTCTCTTCTTTGCTAAGCGTGTAGCTAGCGGGACTTAAGTAATGACGTCCATCATCCTGTCTTCTCTAGATGAAGGTTGTCTCGTTCTTTCATGCCCCGCAAGTCTGGCGTGCTTCAAGTGAATCCTTTGGCTTCCCGTACACACCCATGAATCCTAACAGGTTCACACAAAGATTCTTTGTCAGGTGCATCACGTCGATTGCGTTGCGGACCTCTAGGACTTGCCAATAGGGTAGCTCCCAAAAGATGGACTTCTTCCACATGGGTGCGTGTCCCTTAGCATCTTTGGGAACAGATTCACTGCCTTGTCCCTTTCCAAATACTACTTTCACATCCTTGACCATTGCGAGTACATCTTCCCCGGTTCGGTTATGAGGCTTCTTCCGGTGGTCTGGCTTATCTTTAAAATGCTTCCCTTTCTTTCTTACTTGGTGATTCAAAGGAAGGAATCAACGATGGCCAAGGTACACAACCTTTCGACATCTTTTTAAATATATACTGTCAAGGTCATCAAAACAATGTGTGCATGCATTATATCCTTTGTTTGTCTGACCTGAAAGATTACTTAAAGCAGGCCAATCATTGATTGTTACGAACAACATTGCTCGTAGGTCAAAGTGTTCTTGTTTGTACTCATCCTAGACACGTACACCTGGTTTGTTCCATAAAACTAGAAGTTCTTCAACTAATGGCTTCAGATAGACATCAATATCGTTGCCAGGTTGCCTCGGACCTTGGATGAGGATCGGCATCATAATGAACTTCCGCTTCATGCATAACCATGGAGGAAGGTTGTAGATACATAGAGTAACTGGCCAAGTGCTATGACTAGTGCTCTGCTCTCCAAAAGGATTCATACCATCTGTACTTAAGGGGAACCTTAAGTTTCTAGCCTCATTTGCAAACTCTGGAAATTCCCTGTCTATCGCTCTCCACTGGGACCCATCAGCTGGGTGTCTCAGCATATTGTCTACCTTACGGTCTTCTTTATACCACCGCAACAACTTTGCATGGTCTTTATTTCTGAACAAACGTTTTAAGCGTGGTATTATAGGAGCATACCACATAACCTTGGCAGGGATTTTCTTTCTAGGACGTTGTTCACCCTCGACGTCACCAGGATCATCGCGCCTGATCTTATACCGCGATGCTTTACACACCGAGCATTCATCCAAATTCTCGTATTCATTGCCATGGTAGAGGATGCAGTCATTAGGACATGCATGTATCTTCTGGATTTTTAATCCCAAAGGGCAGACAACCTTTTTTGCTTCGTACGTAGTGGTGGGCAATTCATTTGGCTTCGGAAGCATCTTCTTTATGAGGTTGAATAAATTCCCAAATGCCTTGTCGGATACACCATTCTTTGCCTTCCACTGTAGCAATTCCAGTGTTGTACCCAGCTTTTTTGCCCCTCTTCGGCCGTCGGGTATAGCAACTTTCTATGATCCTCAAGCATGCGCTCGAACTTAACTTTCTCTTTTTCACTTTCCCATTCTTGTTGTGCATCACGAATGGCATCGCTAAGAGCATCATCGAGATCATCTTCTACCGCTACCTCTTCTTCATCTCCCCCCACTGTAGTATCATCAAAGGCACCATACTGAGCAATAATGTCATCAATGTCTAAATCTTCTTCTTCACCTTCTACCATCATGACCCCGCATTCTCCATGCTTAGTCCAACATATATAGTTTGACATAAAACCTGACTTAAGCAAATATGAATGAAGACTCATTGAGCTTGAATATTCCTTTAAATTCTTACATAGGGCACATGGACAGCACATGAAACCATCCCGCTTATTTGCCTCGGCCACACCTAAGAAATAGTGAAAGCCCTCAATAAAGTCTTGGGAGCGGCGATCGGCATTGTACATCCAATGGCGTGACATAATCTGTATTACACGATAAATTATGAAAACCTTGAACATAATTAAGTATTTTATTACACAACATAGATAACACACACACGGTTGATTAATTAACTAAGCCTGGCTACAACGTAAGCAATCCCAACTATCACTAAACAAACTAAAACTACAATGCACTTCAGTAACATAATTATTTCGTGATCGATGCGCCTAAAAACAGACAAATCATTCTTCTCATTGAATATCAATAAGCTTCTCCTGTTGGCTCACTTTGCCTCATCGGCAGCAGCGATTTAATTTCGCGCATGTGTGCATAATCTTCCTCCTAGTACCAACCATCGCATCCATTGCCCTCCCAATGAAATTAAAGCCAAAAAATATTTAGTCAAAAATATTCAAGAAAAGCAGGTCAATTAGCCATAATAATCAAATGCGTAAGAAACTCACATCGCGATCCGGGCACTTGTAGAAAACACGACCCTTGTTGGATCCCTGTCTCTTGACTCGGTACTCCATCACAATCTTCTGCTTACACTTGCCGCAGATAATGAGAGGGAGTTCTGGCCTCAGTCGTTTCGCAACCGAACGAGAGGCCGATGATCCGGTACTAGTTGTCATCTACTTTCTATACTTATTTTTGCAAACTACTGTAAATTTCACATTTTCTAAAATAATATATTTAAACAAAACTAAAATTATTTATTTATCTAACTAAACCATGAAATATGTACTATGTATAATAGTAAAATACCAAACTATCAAGTGATTTTACTATTGTAAACATCATGTGATTTTGAGCTAAAAATGACATAGAAATCACATAGCTCAAAAACATGTTTCAATAAATAACCATCCGTACTAGTTGACCTTGCTTACGTGATCATCTCGGCGAGCATTTCTCCACCGGACGGCACCGTACTTGGCCAAGGAAGAGCTCCGATTCTACGAGGAAGGGAACACGGTCTTCCACGACCGTTGCCGCTCTCCCTCGTAGAATCAAAGCTCCTCCTTGACGTCCGTTACCGCTCGGCAGAGAAAATGCTCGCCGAGATGATCACGGTCCGCAAGTTCAACTAGTACGGATTTTCTACAATTTTCTAACTATTTTCTAAGTTTTTCATTTCATGGAAAAATTAATTCTAAGATCACGTAAGCCGCCGGGGACGAGGATGGCGCGTGCTCCAGCGAGGACGAGCGAGGCGTGATTTTGATGAACTAATTTAACTTTTGTTTATCCAAACATATATGCAAATCATCATGTGATTTTGAGCTAAAAATGACATATAAAATCATAATAAAGTCCAACATATAAAGTTACACATGCATCTACATCGCAAAATGAGATAAGCTACTGATAAAACATAAGAGGATTAAGTTTGTTACCTCCAAAATCGAAGAGCAACACCAATGGAGGGGGAGAGAGCAAGAACAACAGCAAGCTGAAGAACAGAGGCAGTGAGTTTGAATGGAATGGCTCGGGCTCGGGGAGGAAGAAATGAGCCGGTGTATAGGCCGGCATAATTAGTCCCGGTTAGGTGTCCAAACCGGGACTAAAACCTTTAGTCCTGGCTGGTATTACCAACTGGGACTAAAGGTTTAGGTTTACCTTTAGTCCCGGTCGGTAATACCAGCCGGGACTAAAGATCCCTGCTACGCGGACGACCGTTGGGCAGGGACCTTTAGTCCCGGTTGGTATTACGAACCGGGACCAAAGGGTCCTTTAGTCTCGGCGGCAAAAAATGCCGAGGCTAATACCAAATTGGGACATCATTCTAAAGTCTGTTCTCTAGTAGTGGTTGGACAAGGCTTGCCTTGCCTTGATTGGCATATATTATATAGAAGAGCAAGCATAGACCAGCATTTTGTATTGCTAGCTGGCCTGGATTATAGTTCAATGGCCGGGTGGTGGTTAATATATTATAGTACAAGACTTGTTTAAGTCGAGTATTCTATGGGGTGCATAACTTATTTTACACCGGTAATTGTTGCTCTCGGTAGCTACACACCATGCATCTGTTGGCTGCTTAGAAATTTAGTTCGTCATCGGAGGAGCTGGTACTAATGGAATCCAAGGTACGCCTGGTTCACGATTCTGTAAAGAGAATTAGTAAGTTTAGATTTAACATATAAAGTCAGTGAGATAAATGTTGGGCAAATTTTGCTAGCGGACACCATTCTTTGCTTGAAATTGCAGGTGAGCACCGCTAGTACTATTACAAGTGGTGTATTTAGCTCCTCGACACCGCACGCAATAGAATAAGATTTCCGGTTGTTTGGGAGAGAGAAAGATGTTCGGCCTGCAGTTTTTGCCCCTCCTTCTGCCAGAACCTTTTGGGAAGGTTGCACAATAGGTAAAGCATTGCTTCAAAGATAGATCCATATAGCTATAACTTAACATCAAAGATGCAACAACATGATTTGGCACAGAGATATCCTTTGAAATATGTTCTTTCCGTATATCACTGTCTTTCACTTTCATTTATTGGTCAAAATTCATGCCCCGCAAAGTGAATCCTAGAGATTGAGCTGCTAAAGCCACACCAGCACACTTCTGAGCAATCTCCTGTCCTATACCTCTCAACTTTTCTTTGTCATCTCTAGCTTCAAAACCACTTGTTTGTTTAATTATATCCCAGCACATATTGTTCGTCAAGGGTAATATCTTGTATGGTTGAAGGTTTGTACATATTCTCTCTGCAACACTCTCACTTCGTGTTGTTACTAAAATAATTATATTGCTATCATCATGATATAGCATATCCTTCAAGTCCATCAACAGGAACTGATTATCCTCCCAAAGGTCATCTAAAACAATTATAATCTTCTTACCAGGAAGTAGCTTTGTGAGGGAACTATGTACCACATGTCTTTCATTAACCTGATTCTCTTTTTCAGATAGTTGTGAAATAATGGGCTCATGAATTTTATTCAAGTCAAATCTTTGTGACACATGGACCCATGCTTTAGAGTAACATTTGAACTTTGGATCATTATGAATCAATCTTGCAAAAGTTGTCTTGCCAATGCCTCCAATACCATGTATGGGAAGGATGAAAATCTTTTTTGATGAGCTCTCAAGTAAAGAAGTTATTATTTTCCCTTTTTCTTGTTCCCTCCCCACTATGAGTTCTTCTACTACATCTGTTGATGTTTCTCGTGCATCAATAAGTTCTAGCTTAGTGCAACTTGGGCTTGACAATCGATCAGTATTCTGGTGCTGAACTGTGATATCCTTTGATTCCTTTCTCATCTCTATACTGTTATTCTGCATTGTCATTTCAGAAAAACTTATGCTGCATCCTTTCTCGGCAAGCTGCTAAATTTCAATTAGTTTGAAGTTAGAGGAACAGCAATCAAATCCTAGAGTACAGCAAGCAGTGTTAAACTAGTATGCAAAGTTTAGCTTTTTTGTCTGTGCACACAAAGTAAGTGATAAACCAATTTCCATATAACAGAAACCACTTCGTAAAAGAAATAGTGCAGTGCATTGTTTGTTCTCCCAACATGCAGAAGAGCTTCATCTTTAATGCGTTGTTGATAGTTCAAATTTACACAATAAATCGTTTTATGTTAGTATAGTTCTTTCAACAAATAATTTAGCATCTAAAAATTTGTAGCTTACAGTTGTAGAGAAAAGATAACCTACACATACAGTTGAGCTTTCTCCTTATCTATCAATATGGTTCAAACAATGAATATCAGTTCTAGAGGCTCAAGAAACTTTATTAGGCTCTTGAATCATGTAGTGATCAACACTTTTTGAAAGAAATTACTAATATGATAGGAGAACAAAACAAAGTGAACTGATTACATCATTGGACATATAGTAAGACTATGTCCCTGACATAGATACCCAGTATATATGCCTTTACAAATGATATTAATTACCTTGTCAACACCAATTTCAATCTCATTAAGCTTCTCGGTGATCTTCACTATGTCAGGCCTTTTCTGACTTTCTTTGTCCAAACATTTCAATGCTATCTGAGTGCATGCCTCAACTTGGCTGTAGTATGCTTCAAGCAGGGAATCACTACTACTGCAACTTTCACGCAACTTGTTCGTCCGGATCTCTCGGACTGATAAATCAAATTGTCAAGCGGTAGATACTATTTCAATGTAAATATGACGTAGATTTAGATAAAAAATGGTCCTGATTTTAAGACGTATCATTTCTCACTTGATCAATGAACTCATTTGAAGACATGTCCGAACATTCGTGGTAGCCCAAAGGCCCCGACACTATCCTTATCATTACAACACCCAAGCTGAATATGTCAAACTTTCCTGAGATTTCACCTCCGTGGATGTATTACGGTGGTCGGTAACCACTGCGTTGTGTCGCATGCAATGAATTTGTAATGCACGTAGTTTGTTGGGTTATAAAAGGGATGCGTTCGGTGAGGAATTCAACTTACGGTGTTCCATAAGGATTGTGGGTGGTCCGTGCTATGTCTTGACCAAAGATCTTGGACAAACCAAAATCTGCAATCTTTGGAACCATATCCTTATCTAGCAATATGTTGTCGGGTTTGAGGTCAAAATGGTAAATAGGTTCTTCTAAATCCTTATGCATATACTTTAGACCCTCACAAATCCCTTGATTATTTTGAACCGCATGTGCCAGTCAAGCTTAAGTTCACAACACTCATCTATAGTAGTAAACAAAAAAAATAATCAAATGCAATATACAAGACAATATTCTTTGTAGGCATACTGAAAGATGGTTATCGAAACCTTACATTTTTATCTTGTCACTCATGTGCAATCTCCTCTCTTTTTTGCAGCATCAATCGGGGGCGGCGTCGAACCATGTCGAAGGGTCGCCAGCATCGCACGTCCGGGCCATCCCCACTGGACCGTCGCCCGGGATCGCACGTGGGCGCGTCCCACCCTCACAATCGTTGTGAGCCGCCTTGAGTCGTTTTATGTATTGAACTTGTGAACTTGGAATAGTGTGTACTTTTGAACGTGTGGTTTGTAATATATTGTGGATTTCGGACAAATTTGGTCGTTTGTGATATATAAATGTGGTTTGTGACATATTGGTGTTGATTTGTGGTTTGTGATATATATATATGCTTTGTTGTTTACATGGAAAAACAAAAAACAAAAAAAAAAGAATTTTAGAGGTGGCTTCCCCGAGTGCCTGTGCTGTGGCACTCGGGAAAGAGGGATTTTTTAAAAAAAAACAAATTTCTTTGCCGAGTGCCTGAGCTGCGGCACTCGGCAAAGAGTATTTAAAAAAAAACAAAAATCTTTCCCGAGTGTTGCACTTGGGGAAGAAAATAAAAAAAAAGAAAGAAAACGGCGTCGGCCGTCGGCCAACGGTGTCAAGTCTTCCCCGAGTGCCAGCATGGCACTCGGCAAAGCCTTCCCCGAGTGCACGATTTTCGACACTCGGGGAAGGCGCTTTTCCCGTGGGAGGATTAGCCGGAGGCTCTTCCCCGAGTGTTGCACTCGGGGAAGGCTTCCCCAATTGCAACTGGGCCTTTCCCGAGTGCAACTGGCACTCGGGGAAGCCAGTAGTTCCTGTAGTGTCTGTATGGGGATGAAGTTTTGCTTTCACTCTTAGAACAGCTAAAGCAAATTCCTTCTTGAAGATGAGTTTAGGGCAGCGCACCATTGAAAATAACATTGTTTCTCACCGACCAAATGGACCAGCACATGGTGACAATAACCTCCATGAAGAAAGGAAGATGACGCTGAACCTTGAAGGCTTCTAGGATATGTTCAATCTCCGAAGTGTTGGGAACCAGAAGATGAAGAGTATACCAACAAGCGCCACAAAAAGGGCAGGATCCTTTGTCCCCTTTACTTTTTGTGCTAGAAGCTGATTTTCTTCAGACCATCATCAATTCTTCTATGAACAATGGTCGTCTTCGTCTGCCTATTCCTCTACCAGGAAATACAGACTTCCCCATTTTACAATATGCAAATGTTACTCTCATCTTTATGCAATCTGATGTGGTTCAGTTAGCTCATCTCAAGTCCATCCTTCAGTCCTTTGCTGATTCCTCTGGCCTCAAAGTTAATTTTGACAAATCCTTGATGAGCCCCGTAAATGTTGCAGTGGCCCATTTTGATTTACTGGCTACCTCCCTGGGCTGCACCAAGGGATCTCTGCCTTTTACATATTTGGGTCTGCCTTTGTGTGCTACAAAACCCTTTGTTGCAGACTTCTGGCCACTTGTATCTAAATGTGAGAGAAGGCTCACTGTCTTATCCTCCTTTCTGTCAGATGCTGGCCAACTGCAATTATCCAATGATGTTCTTTCTGCTCTTCCTACCTTTGCTATGTGCACCTTCCTTCTCCCAAAAACTGTGATTAAGCAGATAGACAAATTTCGTAAACACTGCTTATGGAGAGGCTCGGATCCTAATAACAGAAAGCCATTTAAAGCAGAATGGCCTCTGGTTACTTTGCCTAAAGATGGAGGGCTGGGGGTTCTAGATCTTAAGCTTCAGAATGAATGCCCTCCTTAAAAACTTGCACAAGTCTTTCAACAGAGTTAACATTCCTTGGGTTCAGCTAATCGGGAATACGTTATTCTTCAACAATAGACAACCCATCACAAGAGGCAGATCAAAGGGTTCTTTTTGGTGGCGTGACTCCTTAAAATTGCTCAATCAGTTCAAGGGCCTTGCTGTTATCTCAGTTAGAGATGGTGCTACATATTTGCTTATGGTGTTATCAATGGCTTTCGCGCTCTGCTTGTCAAAATAAGCGTAAATTATTCTTCGGGCTGTAAATGGTTGATAGACTTAGCACCCGACAGATTCTTCGACGAGAGGGCATGTTCTTGGATAGTTATAATTGTGTATTCTGTTCCAACCCTACTGAACGAAGAGGATTTGCTACACCTCTTTTTACAGGTTATAACATGCTTAGCCGCTATATCCACACACTATAGCACCCTTGTAGCCCTCTATTAATACAACCGTGTTATAGCAATAGTCAGCGTGAGCTACTGTAGCGCTGTTATAGCCTACTACTTAAAACACCGTTTTTCATAACAAACATTATGAATTCTTATTATGTGAAATATGATATTTTCTATAATGCACATATATTTTGGCATTAAGATATTTGTGTTACATATAACTATTATATAGCTCAGGTGATCGCAACCCTTTAATTTATTACTAGAGAATTAGGGAGTTATAAAACATAGGATCTCTAATTTAGTTGACGTGAACATATGTTAGTGGATTGAAGACTAACCCTAATCTTCAGAGTAGTTCCCCATCGGTAGTCATAGTAGATGTCGTTGAGGGAACCATGGATGTTCCTTCCTCCTCTGGACGGTGGGATCTCGGTGAGGAAGGCGGTGAGAAAGGCGCCGATGACTTCTCCTGATTGTCGGTGAGAAAGTAGGGACAACGGCGTGATGACAGTGGCATTCCCATCATTTCAGCACCACGTTGATCGGATCTAAGGAGGTGGTACGTCAGACGAGCTAATCCTAGGAACGTTGGTCCCTCGGGGTGGTAGACGCCCCTCTTTTATTGGCGCTGTGTGACGAGAGGCCAGGAGCTAGCGGTGATATATAGGAGGCAGGAGAAGACGATGGTTTAGGCAACTGAGCCTAATTTTCTCTCTTTGTTAGCCAGCAACAGCTTAGTGAAAGGCCCAACAATGCCCCAATCAAAAGCGTTGTCCCCATCCCTAACCCCAACCGGTGAACTCCCGAACCTAGTTCCCCATCTATCATAGGGCCGCCCAGCGATTCGTGCCCCCACCGGTCCACAAGCCGCCCGAGTCAACGCTAGCCCATAGTCAGCAACCCCCGCACGGCCACCGCCCCCCCACAGCTGCATGGAGCTAGCAGGAGTGGCCCGGTGGCGTAGCTCGCCGTCGGTCGTCTGGACTGGAGTGGTGAGCGCAAGCAGTCTGTGCCCTGCCGGTGAGCAGCGATGGAGAGAGGAGGAGAGGAGCAGCGTGAGGTTCCTGTGATTGCCATTTTTTTTGCCATAATCTGTGTGACAGTAGTATATGAGTACTATGCAATTTGGGTCATAGGATTTTTGCTTCACCTTTGACAGCCTGTTCGTTTCTACCGGATTGGATTGGCTTATAAGCTATGGACTGAAAGTACTGCTGGCTGGTTTGGTATGAGAGAAAAACATTAATGGCTGGCTGATAAGTCAAGTCAAATACAGGTAGTTACGGGCTGCCGAATAGGCTGTGAGTTAGAACTCGCCCACCTATAATCTTTTTCTGGCTCCGCCACTTACTCGGGCCGCCTGGTCCGATATTCATAGGAGGCG